TATGGGCGACAATAGGACTATTTATAATCCAAGTGATTTTTCTTCTTGAACACTGGAATATTCACGCTGAAGCACCAAGCGGTGAGGATCAGTTGCCCTAGAAAAGATCATGCAATCCTCTCCGTCAGACTGTGAACAAACCTTTTCTTCAGGCCTTGAAGAGAAACTCTGTGCAGGGGGGAACCAAGCTTTCATTTCCACTTAGTGACCACAGCCTTGTGCTTGAGATCCTTAATCCAGTCACACAGAGCTTTTATTGAGAATGTGGCTTTTCACATGCGTGAAGGTCTTTAGTTCTCACATGGACCCTGACAAGTCGATAACAGTGGAGGCACAGAGAGGTCTAGGAAGTCGACGTTGATGCTGGAAAGCTCGCCCAAGCCGCTTGGCTCCACCGCCTGCACCCCTAAGCTTTACGTGATTAGCTACGGGCACAATAGTGGAAAAGGGATGCTTCTCTTTATTGTTCGTTAATTCATTCAGGAGAACGGACATCGTGTCAGGTCTTAAGCTACGTGCTGCGGACACGAAGTTGAGTGTTACTGATTTCCCTGCCCTTAACATTCCCACTAATAATGAACTAAAGGGGCAATTAAAATAATTAGTGTTAATTGCTAGGGCAGAAGTGAGGGGTGAGGCTGTGCAGGCACAGACACGGGGTACAGAGCCCATGGAAAGATAAGTCACAGAGAAGTTGGCATCTGAGTCGAGTCCCAGGGGTGGGGTGGGAGTTAATTAGGGAAATTGGGGGATCTAGTTGAGGAAGTAACATGCACAAAGGCCCGAGCAGGGAAGTGCAGACGTTCAGGGGAACTGGGAGAAGTTTGTTAAGAGAGTGTATGTGAGTGGGTTTAGGGTGACGGCCAGAGATGAGGCTGAAGGGGTTGGCAGGGAGATAACCTAAATGGCCTCTCTGTATAGAGAAAAGTTTAGGCTTTATTCTGAAAGTGATATCAAGTCATTAAAGTTGTGTGTTTTTTTTTAATCGTTACCCGAGGATTTTCTATTTATCTTCAGATAGAGTGGGAGGGAGAGGGAGAAAAGGGGAGAGAGAAACATCAACGTGAGAGGGACACATCAACTGATTATCTCCCACATGACCCCAACCAGGGCTGGACGAACCGCAACCAAGGTACATGCCCTTGGCTGGAATTAAACCCGCGACTCATTGGTCCATGGGCTGACACTCTACTGCTGAGCCAAACTGGCCAGGGCAAGCCATTAAAGCATTTTTATTTATTTATTTATTTTTTGCATTTATCTTGAGATAGAGCAGGAGGGAGAGAGGGAGGAAGAGAGAGGGAGAGAGGGAAGGAGAGAAAGAGAGAGAAACCGACGTGAAAGGGACACATCGAGTGGCTGCCTCCTACACGACCCAACCAAGGCCAGTACAAATTGCAACCGCGGTACATGCCCTTAGCGGGAACCGAACCTGGGTCTCCCTGGACCTCAGGCCGATGCTCTAACCGCTGAACCAAACCGGCCAGGGCCATTAAAGCATTTAAGTGGTTTTCTTTATAGCAAGAGGGTACTGGTGGTCGTGGGAGGGATGGTCTTGCCTGTAACTTACCAAACTCAAGGGGTTCTCCGCTTGGGGTACTCATTAAAAACCCAGACATGGTTGTCACAAGGTAGTTTTATGTTTTTTGCAGCAAGTAAAGGAGACAGGAGATTCACATCCAAAGCTCTGTCTCCTGGAAGGGAAGCTTAGTCATCCTTTCATACACTATTTGGCCAATTATATGTTGATTTCTTCTTTACAGCTGGCTACATTTATCAGGTTGAGTTCCTATTAGGCTCATCCTATTTACAATTGGTCTATAAAACACTGTACTACATTCCGACATTCAGCAAGAACAGCATTTAGTAACAATGGCCCAGACCTTGAGACCTGTGTTCTAACATAACTGCTCACATATCACAGAAGCCCAACCAAATTCAACAGCATATGTGGCCAGGAAGTTTGTAAAGTTATGAAAATGCTATGTGCATCTCTACGGTATAAATAACTAAAAGATGTAAATAACTAAAGACTTTAAAAGATGTGGAAAATATGAACTGACTAGTATTAATGAAACAAACTGAAAATGTTATTGAAGTGTCAGGCCCCTAAAAGTTTATGGGTAAATTCTTTCAGACTTTCAAAGAACAGATAATTCCCAGCTACACAGATTTTTTCTAGTGCATAGATTTAAAAAAATAAAAATAAATAAAAGCCCAACTGGCTTTTCACAATTAGCATAGCACCACCTCACTCCAAAGCCTAGAAAATAGTTATTAAAACTACTAGCAAATAAAGTTCAGAAATGTATTGAAAAAAGTCCCCAAAGGCCAAGTAAGCTTTACTTCAGAAATGTAAATATATATAATCTGAAAATAGTGTTACTTTAAAGCTGAAAAGGGTTTTGTGCTAACAGAGGCAGAGAAATAACATTTGGGAAAATGTGTCTTTGACCTGGATGCTTGTATGGGCCATTAGCTGCACAAATGCCAATCAATTATTTCCAGGCCTACCCCATCTTGCCTTGGGAGAACGTTATCCTAAATGCAAAGATTATAGCAGTGTTCCATTTATAATGTAAACTATTTTATGTGGTTAAAAAGCAGAGATGTAGCCCTGGCCGGTTTGGCTCAGCGGTTAGAGCATCGGCCTGCGGTCCAGAGAGACCCGGGTTCGGTTCCCGCTGAGGGCACGTACCTCGGTTGCAGTTTGTCCCCGGCCCTGGTTGGTCGTGCGGGTGGCAGCCACTCGATGTGTCCCTTTCACATCGATGTTTCTCTCTCTCTGTCTCTTCCTCTCTCTCCCTCCCACTCTATCTGTACAAAAAATGGAAAAATGGAAAAATGTCCTCGGGTGAGGATAAAAAAAATAAATAAAAATAAAAAGTAGAGATGTAGAATAAGCAATAAAAAAAGCATTGACCTTCATTTAAATAAGATTAAGAAATGGAGTAAGTTCCACTGGCTACAAATCATACATACAAAAGCACTCCATCTTGTCCTGGCCGGTTTGCTCAGCGGTTAAAGCCTGGCCCATGGACCGGAGAGGCTCGGGTTGGGTTCCTGCTAAGGGCAGGTACCTTGGTTGCAGTTTGTACCCGGCCCTGGTTGGGGGTCGTGTGGGTGACGACCAGTCGATGTGTCTCTTTCACATGGATGTTTCTCTCTCTTCCTCCCTCTCTCCCTTCTGCTCTATCTGAAGATAAATGCAAAAATGTCCTTGGGTGAGGATATAAAAAAAACACACACACACAAAAGAAAACACTCCATCTTACCAGTCACTACAAAAATCTTTCCAACAAAATGAAACTGACGTAGTCTAACTTGAAATGAACAAATAATTCAAATAGTATCTCCTACTAAATAAACTTCAAAAGAAAATGAACTATTTTCATCCATGTCAACATATTGTGGTATGTACTAACCTTCTCTATCAAATGATAATACGTAAAGCATTTTCCCTTAAAGTAGATTTATAATAATTTACATTCTTGTTGTGAAGGTTTGAATCTGATTTTCTAGAACAATTTTTAAGAGCTGGAATAGAGCCCTGGCCGGTTTGGCTCAGCAGTTGGGAGCGTCGGCCTGTGGACCAGAGTCCCGGGTTCGGTTCCCGCTAAGGGCATGTACCTCGGTTGCAGTTTGTCCCCGGCCCGGTTGGGGTCATGTGGGTGACAACCAGTCCATGTGTCTCTCTCACATCGATATTTCTCTCTCTTCCTCCCTCTCTCCTTCCTGGTCTATGTGAAGATAAATGCAAAAATGTCCTCAGGTGAGGATAAAAAAAAGAGAGTTGGAATAGAGACGGTTATTAAAAACATGGATTTTCTTTATTTTACTTATTGATTTTAGAAAGAGGGAGAGAGACAGAAACATCGAGAAGAGAGAACATCAATAGGCAGCCTCCTGCATGCCCCCCGTGGGGATTGGGCCCAGGACCTGGGCATGTGCCCTGACTGGGACCTCTTGGTGCATGGGTGGATGCTCAAGCACTGAGCCACACTGCCGGGCTGGATTTCTTTTTTAATTTTACGGTTCATAGGATAAGTGGTAAAGCTGTTGTAGGCAGAACTTGCATGGTCTGGCGGTGCCACGTTCCACAATGGGATCTGCTGTAGGACGGCGCCACTCTGGGCTCTGCGGGCGACTGTCGACCTCACCCTTGTGATCACCGCTTCCACAGTGGCCATCTCACCTTCTTTATTTCTAAGGGCGAGGATTCTCTGAAATTTGTCTAGCTATAAAATTCTCAGATGTACACTCAACTCTTTGTTAATCATTTCTTAAACGTTAGGGTTTAACAAACTCGGAAGCATGAGCTTGGTGACTGGGTCAAAGTGTAGCAGGGGAACCTCGGCCAGAGCCTCTCGGCCTCTCCCCCTCCTCGGGGCTGGCTCTCCAGCGGGGTCTGCTTTCACAGCTCTGGTAAAACGGCCGGCAGCGCCCTGGCTTGGAGGAGCCCGGCCTGGCCAGCCCAGCGGGCGGTGCAGCCCAGCCCATCCCACACGCAGGCCTCCAGCAGCAAAGCCCTTCCTTCCACCCTTTCCTCGGAGCTGCGAGCCCAGGCGAGGGGGGCCGGAGGTGCCGTGGGTCTTTTCTACATGTTTTATGGGCCAGCGCTTCTCAGGTCTGTGTGCACAGTAAACAAGGAGCAGAGCTCAGGCCCCACCCCAGAATAATTACCCCAGAATCTCTGTGGGCCGGCCCCGGGCAGCTATAGGAAAAAAAACAACAACAAAGTTCTCCAGGTAATTCTAACCTGAAACCAAGGTTGAAAAGCTCAACTTTGAGCTACAGGTCTGCCTGTAGCACAGATAAAAGGAAGATTTCAAAACCAACACTCCACAGAATGGGTCTCATAATTCCGATGCAAATGGTGGGACATGTGAAGATTACTTCTAAAGATATAAAAGGAAAGACAGGAAACACAAATACAATATTGCTAATGTTTTGATTGTATTCAAATTTTTATTTTCTGAACAAAAAAATTTAAGGACAATGATTTTAAATAATAAAACATGGCATACTCTAGATACTTTTAAAAGACAGTTAACTAAATTTGGACGTCTACAGTTCTGCTGTGGTACTTTCTTCAACATGTATATTATTTCTTACGATTTTATCATCACTCTAAACTTGCTAGACACACAAAAAAGTCACTCTGTCTGCTCCGGCAAGGCTTAAGGAAATCCTGCACTCCCACACGGAACACACATACAGAACAGTCACATTTTATATTTACAGAACACAAAAAGTCTGTCCAGCCATTTCGGTGTTGTTCCCTTGCCCATGCTGAGCTCCACGAGAAGCTAAGTGATGAGCATGATTTCACTTCAGCAGTGCAAAGGATGGCATCAACCAAACTTCGTTAACCCGACGAAAAGTTACAGACATGGTCAGCAAAATTCAACTTGTCTCATAGTGATTTAAAAACATAAACACAGGGTGGGTCACAACTAGACTGGTTTTCACCGTGCGGCTTTTCCTCAGGGAACAATGCTACCCATTTCACATAGGAAGGGATCCGCATCCAAGCCTTTGTTCATGAAGAAGATGCCCTTCAAACAAACTCATCATCAGGCAAAAGAAAAACAAACAAACCAAAGAGAATGAAGGCGGTTGGCCCAGAGAAAGGCTTCTACAGAATGTGTACACACCGCACACACACATGTATAGATATGCTACAATTGAAACCATGTAGATAGTCGAGGGGCAATTCAATGAATTGGCTCAGTGCAGTGAGAAAGTGTTCGTGTTCTAGGAACTGTAGTTATTGCTAAGATGCTAACGGTGCGGGTTGCCGGGGAAACGCCGCAGCCGGAGGACAAGCTGCGGCGTTGCCCGCGTCAGCCCGCAGCAGGCGTTCACATGGACACATGCCATCCCGTCCTGAGGGTAAAGCAAAAGTGCCACTACCAAAAAAAAAAAAAAAAAGGAAAAAGAAAGGCTTATGCACTGTCCCTTACATATTTGCCTATTTAAAACAATAAAACACAAAAGTCCAGTTCACCACAAGGTAATAAGCACAACCTGACAAGCAAGTTCGGCGGCATGATGGGAGGGAAGGGAAATACAGCATTTACAAGCAGCACTGCTCTAGTCTATTAGGTCATACAAACTGGAATACAAAAACCCAATTTAAATAAGACCAGACTAATGTAATAGTAAAAAACAAACAAATAAACAAAAACGAAACGAAAACACACACACACACAGTAGACTTAGTTGATAATGATTAATTTTCAGAGTAAAACTCATCCTGTCCCCTCTTAGTAACCTACTGCAATTTCTTTATTGATGGCTAGAATATTCACTTACTTAAAAAAAGATATTTAAATACCTGTAATTACATCCTTTTTTAACGATAAGACATACTGTGTAAGAAAATAGCTCGTGTGAAATGTGTCTGAAATGCATTTTCCTCACAACTATCAAAACATCCACTCACACTAAAACAAACCCCCAAGCACTCCCCCCCAAAAAATTTAAGGAAGTTGGGGCGGGTCAGGGGAGGAGAAGGGAAGGGAAGGTTTACCAGCACAGTGATTAACAATGGTTCGAGACAGAACCAACAAGAGTTGGTCAAAGAGATGCCTTCGAGACATGGTTATGATTAAAAACCAAACTCAACCACTTTGGGTTCATTAAAGTGAGACCAAAAATCTCTCTCTCACAGATTCATAGAAATACTAGACTTCAGCTCTTTCATTATTATTTTTTTTTTAAGTTTTTCCGTTTGTTTTCGCAAAGCCTAGCTACTGTCACGACGTGTATCCGCTCTGCAACAACTGCGAGAGGTAGGCATAAAGCATGAAGAGGTTTCCCCGTTCGTACCTCACCGAGGGCTGCTCACTGCGTAATACCGTTCACCTGAGACGGGACAGTGATTACCTTCTAGTCTCTTCTAAATGCCGAAACAAAGCTGCTGCCATCCCATCGATGTTCTAAGAGTGTACTCACAAATAAGAAACTTTCTCTTCTGAAGGGTACTGTCAGTGTTTGCTGCAGAGCACACGCACACATGCACGCACACACTTATATACATATACATATATATAAACATATATATACATATATATATATTTTTTTAAACAAACAAATAAACAACAAAAAACCCCAGTTTCCTAGAACCAGTTCTCTTGATTCTCCACTTCCACAAAATAAAGTATACCATTTGGCCAAGACTACAGGTGTGTTTCTTTTTCTTTTCTTTTTTTTTTTTTTCACAGATGCAAGTGCCATGCAAAATAAATTAAAGAACAGATACCAAAACATGTGATAAAACTACTGAAGGTAGATCTTTAAAAGCATTTATATAAACATAATTTATAATACTTCTTTTTTCCCCGTATGTACAGTCACAAAGCTGTAGTTATACATCTAGGATTTCCTCTGCGGTGCCCCCACAGCGCAACCTGTATCGGCCAGTTCTCCAGCTTATCGTGGGGTCCCATAAGGCCGACAGAAAGATGTATATTGTCATGGATTCCCGGATGAACCAAGCTACTGCATAATCAAGTTTTGAAAAACACAGTGTGCCACCCTAGGAATTAAAAAAAGGAGGAGGAGAATTGATTTACGGTCAGACTAAAGATACAGGTAAAAAAATACAATTCTTTACCCGGCTGGTGTGGCTCAGTGGTTGAGCATCGGCCCATGTATCAAGAGGTCGCCGGTTTGATTCCTGATCAGGGCATATGCCCAGGTTGTGGGCCAAACCCCCAGTGGGGAGGATGCAAGAGGTGGCGGCTAATCAATGTTTTCTCTCATTGATGTTTCTATCTCTCTATTCCTTTCCCTTCCTCTCTCTCTATAAATAAAGGGGAAAAAAAATACAAGTCTTTGAATTCACTCTTTTAAGTACACTATATAAAATCAAGTCTGTTTCCTTAGATACTTTAACTATCTGCTATATTACAATGGTAAAGAAATGTTAATTATGAGTAAATAAGCATTAAAAAACTGCTAGCCAAATATATTCTGAGTATGAATACTTTTTGATTTGCTTAACATCTTTTCTTTTTTGAGTCTTAATAAAATGACTGTATAACCAACTGAAAGCTGAAAACCATGTTAAGCTTTGTGTCCACATCCCACTACCAAAAGGAAGGTTTAAACCTGATGTTAACCTTCAATAGGAAGCTATCTGATTTTTTTTCTACCTTTTCTAAATTAAAAAGTTGATTTTTTTTTAACCCTCACCCAAGGACATGTTTTTATTGATTTTTTTAGTTTTCTTTTTAGAGAGAGAGAAACATCAATCAGCTGCCTCCCCAACGGGCTGGATCAGGGATCAAACCCACAGTCCAGCTATGTGCCAGACTTGGAATCGGACCTGCCACCTTTCTGTGCCTGGCACAGCACTCCAACCAACTGAGCCACTGGCCAGGGCCAAATTAAAAAGTTTTAGTTCCACCAAATGACTGCCAGCCTTGTTCTGCCTATCCACATACCTGGACACCCCTGAGTTGAATGTAGTCAAATATAAACCATGCCAGGCAATGACACATGAAAAATACCATAATATCCCATCTGAATACATGGTGGGCTGCCCATCCGATAATTAAACTGGCAACAAAGCATTCTGAAATTGGCTCACAAATTATTGTAGCAGGAAGCATGTTAATTCGTAATTTGGTCCACCTGAAAAACAATAGCAGCAACAAAACAAGAGCCTGGTTAATAACACTAATCAACTTTCCCCCCAAAATGATCAGTTCTTTACCATGTCATACAAAGGCCCACCTCTTTATTTTTATTTTTTATCCTCACCCAAGGACATTCTTCCATTTTTTGTTCAGATAGAGTGGGAGGGAGAGAGAGGACGAGAGAGAGAAACATCGATGGGATACATCGAGTGGCTGCCTCCTGCATGACCCAACCAGGGCCAGGGACCATCTGCAACCACGGCACATGCCCTTAGCGGGAACCGAACCCGGGTCTCTCTGGTCCGCAGGCTGACACTCTAACTGTTGAGCCAAACCGGCCAGGGCTAGATTTATTTTTAAACTAAGTTTTACCACATACAGATTACTCCCCTCCCCCTTTCTCTTAACAAAGTATAAAGAAGAAATTGCTGATTCACCTGATCATTCTGGATTGAAACTGAGAAATTGAGTACGAGCCAGAGTTTTGCATGGCAACTTGAGTGGACATCGCAAACCTCCAACCTCTGAAAATTAAGACAGTTATAAAATGAGCTGTGATGATGAAGACACACAAGATGACTGGTTATGCACTGACTCCTCCCTGAAAAGAGTCATCAGGGAAAGTCTAGTCCTCAGGATTAGCACCCTACTTAGGTTCTATCATACTTACAAATGTTTTAGCAATTAGGTAGGCACCTGGTGGCACCATCTAAGAGCTGAAAGAAACTACAACCCCTCAGTTTACAATTTAAGAGACCTAAAATACAGGCATTCACAAAGTTCTAAATGGAACGGGTTCTGTATTAATAGTTTAGTGTCTGTCCCTACTAACCAAAAGAGGCGGGGATGGGAGGGGGGATGTGTATGGCAATTCAACAAGAAATGTAAACAGAAAGTGACATTATGTATCTGTATCTCTTGAGAAACACTATGAAACCATAAACTACATGAACACCATTCATGAGAAAATTTCAAAACCATACTTCAATTTTTAAAATCACATCTTTAGTAAATTACCATATAAGGCAAGGATCCCCTTTAATAGCAAACAGTTATCATTTTCTAATTGAGAAATGTTAAGTCAATCATGTAAACAATTAGGTGGCTTCTTAGCAAAATACCAAATAATCTGAAATTTTCAATACTGGAAATAATATTCTTTAAATTTCCACCTACTGGTTTATGACTACACTGATATGTTTAATTCTACTAAAACAAAGAGAAGTTTACACCCATAATAATGAACATGCACAATTACAGACACTTCCTTTTTAATCACTTCAAACCACATTAGGTTGAAGAATGTAGATTAATGAGAACACTTATTTGCATCTTTAACATAACATTATCTATGAATTAATAGAAATTACTTTCTAAAAACATTAACCTACTCTGTATTCGGCAGCAAAAATAAAATAGCCCTGAATCCATGGTTTTAACAAACAGAATAAGCCAACAGAAGTTAGGTGCTAAACATACTATAGCCTAATGTAATTTAGTTTTCTTACCGGTCAGCTATTGCTTTGGCCATAAAGTAATCTTCAGCAATGTATTGAGCAAAAGCTATAAGCCCTCCTGCTTGATCTAACACATCCTTTCTCATTAAACACGACATTCCTGTCACACATTTGAAACCAGTCACATTGGCAGAGATATAGGACCTTGGATGAGAAGTTCCAAAATATACCTGCAAAAACAAAAAACCCAGGAACATATATATACAATTAGAATTTTAGGTATGGTGTTTATAAACCCTTATTCCTAATGAATTTCCTTTAAGTATGATTGAATGTATATCCTATTATTCTTACATACACCAGGCAGTCAGTAACGTATTTGGTTGACTACTCTTGTTATTCTCTTATTATTACTTCTAGGGAAGAGTAGATTCTATTCTCAAACAAACATTACCTTCCCTAAAACTGCAAGATTCAAAGATGTATCCGAATAAAACTTAATTTAGATATAAAATATCACTCATTGTCATATAAAATATTAACGCATATTTAACATACTGCTTCCAGAATGCTCCTGTAACGACACACCACACCCACACATATACGTACATTTTGTGTATACATGCTTGCACACAGAGACAAGCACCTCCCATATTTGTATCAACCCACAGGACACCCATGTTTAACTCCTTTCTTACATCCTTCCACAGCCGGCTGCTTCCTGCCACTGAGTCACTGAGCTTCTCAATTCCCCAGTGTTGTTTTTCAACATATTTTTCAGACACAGGGCAGTTGCTAAAATTCTGTCTCCCATTTTCCTGCCCTTTCCCTAGACATGCTTGAAGTCATGAGATACGCAAGCTGCTGAACTAACGGTAGAACAAGATGGTCATCGCCCTATTATTACATATAAGACCCTATCTATTATTTACATCTTAGGTAGGCTGCCTCTTCTAATTAGCCTGAAAAAGAGCAGTGACCTTTCTCAGTGGCAAGGGTTCTACGGCACGGAGCAAGAGAATGATCCGAGTAATTAAGAATAGGATTCTTGCTACCTACCCCACGCCATGTCCAGACTGAACTGAACCTAACTTCTAAGACCAGAAATATACACCGTAATTCCTTAAGCAGTTATTAAGTGAGGGCTGAGGAATGAGGTGAGACTAGGGACTTGCTAGAGGCTTCAAAGTGTTTTTCTAGCCTGCAGTCAGTCCTCTGGCCTATTTCCAGTCATTCTAAGCATGGGAGATGAAACCTAAACCACGAGGGTGGGTGCAAAATAAAAGATGTTTTCCACCGACATATAAACCAACTTCGATAGTTCTAAAACAAAAACACAATGTGGCATATAAGAATACAAAACATTTTACTTTAAAGGAACAAAAGTTCCGATTATCGGACAATTAGTCCTGTCCAAAATGTCATCCCATCTCTCAGGGTAGTCTCAAGCCCTAGGCGAATAGGAATCTGCTAATAAGAACATTACTCATAACCATGTGCTCACCTGTTCTAAGGTAGCGGCGAAGCCCTGTCTGTCCGCCACATACGGCAGCCCGTGAACCAGGCCTACCTTCTCTGTCATCTGGTTGACCATGTCAGTGAGTGTGTCCGGAAGCACTACAATAGACCAAACGGCGGCAGGGGAGAGAGAGAGAAACATTCGTTTTAGTAAAATGCCAACTAATGTAAAACACATTTTGTGAGTTGTTAAATTATTTAAATAAATAAATAAATTCTTTTTTTCTTTCTTTACATTTGGATCTAATAAAATGAATCTCAATCACTTTTCTAAGGACAATACTTAGATAAGCTTATTTACTCTACATTTTGGGGCCAGTGTATATACCCAATATGGAGCAGAGAGAGGCAGGACATACCGTGAAAACTTACTACCCTGCTTCAGATCCTCCAAACTGGAAAAATGGACAATGTCTCCCAGTTGGAGGCTACAGGGGCAGAGGGCAGAGCACCCCAGTTCTCAGGCCGGCTCCTCCATTCTCCAACTATAGGAAATGAGCCTACAATTTCTTTTCTATCCTAGCTCATAAAACTGCGGGCAGGATTCAAGTGAGATTATACTTGACAAAGATCTATGCACTGAAAACAACAAATACATGACAGCTTTAGATAGCAAACGTGATGAACATCCTCTCTGGTATGTAATGACCCTGATTAATTAGGAGTGCCACACTTCTATTAATTTTCAAATTTGTGTTTTAAGCTAATAAAAATTTTAAATCAGCCCTGGCCAGTTTGGCTCAGCAGTTAAGAGGGTTGGCCCCGGACCAAAGAGTCCTGGGTTCGATTCGGGCCAAGGGCACGGACCTTGGTTGTGGTTCGTCCCCGACCCCAGTTGGGGTCTTATGGATGGCAACCAATTGATGTGTCTCTCTCACGTCAATGTTCCTCTCTCTCTCCCTCCCTCTCTGTCTGTAAAAGTATCCTTGGGTGAGGATTAAAAAAAAACATTTTTAAATCATTGTCCCACCTTCAAAGAGAAAATATATCATTTTACATGACTTCATTTTTTTATTTCTTTCAAGTAAGAAAGAGATCTATTAAATAACAGTGTATCTGGACCTTAAACACCCACATTCTATGGCAGTGGTTCAGAACCGCCACGTCACAGGGGATGCCTGGCACTGGCTGGAAACACTTCTGGCTGTCACCCTGAGAGCGGGGGGGAGGCCGGGGATGCTGCTGAACGTCTCGAAGGACAGCCTCAGCAACAAGCAACTTTCCAGCCCAATGTCAATAGTGTTGAGGCTGAGAAACCCCAGGTAATTAGAATGTAACAGAATATTACAGAACACTAAAATTACAGTAAGTATAAACATTTAAAGCTGCAAATTATAATTTCAGATTATAAAAGGCTTCCTGTTAAAATCATCTAAGTGAAAAGCCATAAATGTGTTTAGTAAAATACCTATAATTTCTGTCCCTTTGTGTGAGATAGTGGATTATATATGCCACAAACAGATCAAAGTAAAAGACAAGTGTCACCTGAACAAGGGGGAAATTTACACCTGTGAGGACCATATTATACCATATAATGGACCATGACTATATTTCTTTAATGGTTGGAATTTTTTTCTTCAAAACAAAAACATTTTTATATGTGGAACATTCCTTGTTAGCATTAAAAAAAAGTCAAAATCTTAATATAATTTGACATAGTACCATGAAATAATGATGAAATGAATTATTTTATTTGCCAAACAAAAAGGATTGATACATTTATTTTCAGATTGCTTTTGGCATTTTATCATTGAATGCATAGTTTTATAAAATAAATAAGAAAAACCTCACCTCTTATTCCACTATCACAAATCCAGATAAGATCATACTTTGCAACTTCATATCCTGGCATTAGATTATTAATTTTAGGATTAATGCCAACCTTTTTGCCACCTAAAAATTTAAAGGTACAGCACTGAAAAATTCATTTAACATTGAAAGTATTTTCTATCATACAGACACGTAGTAGAGAGAAAAGTATTTGCATATTCAATAATTTAAATGAACATACTTGAACATTATGTTTTACATTTATTATTCACAATAATACAGTTAGAAAAAACTGTTCCTTCTCAGGAGAATCATATCATTTATGTTTAAAAATTTATTAGTTTCAGTTTTCTAATTCTCAAGTTCTGTATTATTAATAAGAATGAATCAGTATTTATTGGAGAATAAACCTACAAGCTTTTGGAAATAACATTGTTTTTGCAATAAAACAAAAGTGAACTCCCAATTACAGTGAATGAGATAGAAAAGGCCACACAGAGGAAATATTCAAGAAGCAAAAATAATAGATTCTTATATCTGATTGATGAGTTAAACATAATTTGGGGTTATTTTTTGTCATTTTGTTAATCCCAGATATGAAAACACCACCACTACCTTTGTTATAATAATTTAAGTTTTGTCATAAAGATATAAACACCTTTTGCCATTCCAACAGATACACATAAAGCAAACATGCCCATCACTTCAGTGGGTGGCTAACACCTTAATCTGTAGTTGAAAGCCAAGATTACTGCCACCTAAAACTATTACAGCAAAATGGTTTTTGTAGAATTTGTAACTTACCTATAAACAATCTGGCATCGACATTTGGATATTTTCCAAGAAGCTTCTTACATACATCAATAGCTGGGTCGTCATGATCTTGTACACAAAGGAGTACTTCATACTAGTCAAAGAACACATTTTAGGTAAATTAACCTCTTTTTACAAAAAGAAGCACTCGGTATGTACTGATTGATTAAAAAGAAAAGGCATTAAGAAAAACAAGCAATTGTACACACAAAGTTTAAAAGTTAAGAGAGGATTCATAGCCCTGGCCTGTTAGGCTCAGCGGTTGGAGTGTCAGCCCGCAGACCAATGAGTCCCAGGTTCGATTACAGTTAAGGGCATGTACCTTGGCTGAGGTTCAACCTGGCCCTGGTTGGGTCTTGGGGTAGGCAACCAGTTGATGTGGCTCCATCACACTGATCTGTCTCTCTGTCTCTCTGTCTCTTTCTCCCTCCCTTCCACTCTACCTGATGATAAACAAAAAAGTATCCTTGGGTGAGAAATAAAAAAATAAAAGAGAGGACTCATAATGGATGCAATCACTTATGACACTGTTGGCTGTAAACCGGAGAAGCATCTCCAGAACAGGGGCTTGTGCGCAAGCAGAAAAGAAACTGGAGGGATTGGTGGTGCCCACAGTTGAAGTCTTGCCATTCCCAGACAGGCATGGCCTAGTAATCAGACTGGATCTCAAGCTTCTCTGTGCCCTTCATCACTAAAGATTTACTAAATGTCCAATGGTGCCTAGCTGTGTAAAAGCCAATGTAGAAAGCAAACAAAATAAACACACTCTCCATTCTCTAGAACTTCCTCTCTGAATTTAAGATTATTTCCTGAGGGCGTAATAAATTACATATTGAATTCCAACATGATAAATTTAAAGGGCTTTGCCAAACTCTTCACGTGACAAGGACAAAGTGAGATTAGAATTTTTGCTGTACAATCATTTTTTTTGGAAATTAAGTAGAATTTGATTAGATTCAAAATGTATCATCCTGAAAGAGAAGGTTTAGCCTTTTAATTTTTTGTTAATTCTCACCAGAGGCCACTGATTTTTAGGCAGAGTGGAAGGGGTTGGGGGGAGGGAAGCATCAATGTGAGAGAGACATTGACTGGTTGCCTCCTGCAGGACCCTGACTGGGGCAGGGGATCGAACCTGCAACCCAGGTACATGCCCTTGACCAGGAATCAAACCTGAGACTCTTCAGTCCACAGGCCAGTGATCTAACCGCTGAGAAAACCAGCCAAGGCGTGTTTAGCCTTTAAAAATAAAAAGTTTTCATTGACTTGGGGGGGGGGGGGAGAGGGAGAGGGGGTTAGGGGGAGAGAAGAGAGGGAGAGAGAGAGGGGGAGAGAGAGAGAAGCATCCATCGGTGCTTCCTGGATGCCCCCACTGGAGACTGAACCCAAAACCTGGGTATGTGCCCTGACTAGGAATGAACCAGCGACCTCCTGGTGCATGGGACAATGCTCAACCAACTGAGCCACACTAGCCGGGGTGAATGCTTAGCCTTTTAACTATGAAAATACTCAGGAATTTTTTTTGCTCAGTGCTATGTTTACTCTTTGACAATAAGTTAAGGAAGTCATTTCTTAGCACTTAAGTGGCTGTGTCAATACCCTGGCACGTGTACAGAACACCAGGTCCTGTTCTTAGACTTCTGAATCAGAATCTCTGGGGTGACTGTGACAAGTAACCAGGTTTATAAAATCTTGTACCCTAAGTTATCATTTAGTAAACTACTAAATTTTTTTTTAAATGTCTGCTTTCACATAAAAAGTTGCTACTTTAGGATTCTGTGGGATACGTATTCCAGAAAGTAAGTTTTTTTCCCCCAAAAGTGATGATAAATTCATGCTGACTCAATGACAAATTTAGGGAGGTTAATTATTTCCACAGAACAACAACAAAACTATATGTTGTAAAAAATAAAGGGCAAAGGACATAACTTTTTAAATGTCTAACACACAGGAACTAAGGTAAAGGAAAGGCTTATTTTCTTTATTTCTTTTAATAAGCATGCACAAGTACAAAGTGGAAATAAAATGTTTACAGTGCCCTTGAGCTCAATAATTAGTTACCTTTTGCCATTAGTACAGTATCGTCAGCAAAGACTGGCAATACAGAAATTAGTAGTTTGAGCACAAAAGAGACAGGACTAAGGTCCATGAAGAAGGTAATAGGTAAGATTTTTTTTTCAAGTGAAGAAAATGTTTTCTCATATTCTACCCAGTACCTGCCTTTGACACTGACCAAATTGCCACTCCAGAGGTATTGAAACCAACTTCACAGCGACCTAGTTTCCAGAGATCAGACAAAAATCTGAGAAGGGGAAGGGCCCCGCTTCTGCAGAACCCCCGACATTTCTCAAAAGCGTTGACTCTAAATCTATCAAGTGTCAGCTCTCATCTCAACTTGACTTTCAAAACAATGTTTGGCAGAGCCACCAAAAGGCATTGACCTTAACATTAAGATTAGAAATGTTAAGTGACTTTCTCAAGGGTAATTCATAGTAACAATTAGCTTTCCTAGTACAGTGGGCTGCTCAGCCAGGCTTGCTCTAAAGAGTTCCTTGTTTTTCCAAAAAGATCATAGTTTCTTTAATGTTTTTATAATTTATGCTGTTTTGTACGCATGAGTGAATATAGGGAAAGGAAATGTTTATAAGCAATATAATTCCATAAAATAGAATTAAAAAGTGAATTTTAGCCTTTTTTTCCAGCAGGAGAAAACTTTGTAAAATATAGTACTAAAAATATACTCAATGGGAAGAAAAAACATTAGGTTATAGCAAAAATTTTTGAGAAGTATATGGTGTTAATATAAGTAAGGGAGTATGTAGTTTACCTTTATTCAAATTCAAGGTTTAAAGTTTTTATTTTTATTGATTATACCTCTTAAACATAGTTTCAAATAAAAACAAATACCTTCTGATTGACCTTGGTGCAAATAAAATTCAATTCACATGATCAAAAAAAGTTCAGACTTTTATTATAAACATAACTTTCACTTAATTGCTTCTGATATTGAAAATCATATCGAATTGGAGGTAGCATTCCAAGTGTTTTCTGCAGTAATACGTTTTAAAGAGCCTTCATTTTTCAGCTATGATAACCACACCTCTGTGTCTTCAGTCTGATCAAACATTTATGGGCTGGGCCTCTGTATTTGAATAGTGAAATCACTCCAATTATACCACAGCTAGAAAAACACAGATCTTAAATTGGTTCAAGGTTTTCCCAGCTAACACAAAAATAATTTTTCAGATGTTTTATACTATCTAAAGGATTAGGCATAAATATGTGTTCAAAAATACAGTGTTTATTAAAAACATTAACTTCACAAATATCTCAAGAAAACATTTCATCAATCTGAACGGGATATAAGGTAAATTCCACTATAAATGGATACAGTATGAATACATGATATCTAGAAATAACTTCAGAATACTGCAGATGAGGTTAGCCTCCATCAGATCTTTAGTAAGGTTGCTATACAAATAGCTACACTGACTAATCTCCACCCCCCAAACAGTGAGATAATGAAAGAACAAGAGAAGTATAGAAAATCCACATGTGGTTCAGCCCTTTGCTATTTAAGAATTGAGTATCTGAAACGGCAATAACCATGAATAATACTTTTTTTTTGCTTTATGAATAAGAAGTAGTATTATTCATAAAAATATCAGATTTAAATGTATACATAATAATATTAGAAAAAATTTCCTTGATTCAGCCCTGGAGACATGAGGAATGCAAAGTTTTTAACTATAGTAAACAATAACAAATATCCTCTTAAAATATAAAAGTATTTTCATATATGTTAAATAATTATATTGCATATTGAATAGGAAAATCCTGAATTATTTATAAATAACTAAACATCATGTTTACAGAAACATCTTATGATGACATCTATCACAGTAGAATATAATTCTGTGACAGAATGGACTTAAGATTCCAAATGCCTAAAACATCCTTTGGCACAGAGTCAGCGATGAATAGTGTAAGAGAGATGCCAAGAAGGAAATGTTTTGTTAAGAAAACTGCTCTGAATTCAGAGTTTTGACAATATCAGATACTTAACTATTTTTTAAGAACTAGGTAGTTTTTACAGTTTCTGAAATTTATTTGAAAAATCCCTAATCTTTCTGACTTAGTTTTATTACATGTATTATGCTTCATCTTTTGATAATTGCTTCTATTTTCTATCTTTAATTCTTTGTTGGAAGACTATTGGGTTAAAAAACATTTCCTCTCAAGGACTGTTACACCCCTGATAAGAATTCAAACATGCACTGGACTTGTTACATTTTAAACCAATTCTGTATTTGCTGAAAAGAAAAGAAAGGGAAAAAAAGGCACAAATGCCATAGCCTCACTGTTAGTAACTCTAATCATTAATTTAAAAATTCCTCATATGGCCCTGGCCAGTTTGGCTCAGCGGTTGAGCGTCAGCCTGCGGGACAGAGAGTCCCGGGTTTGGTTCCTGCTAGGGGCATGTACCACAAACAAACAAACAAACAAAAAAATTCCTCATATGGCCAGAATTCACTGAAGTAAAAGCCATCAAGTCATATTAGATGCAGATCACTGAGTTTTCCTGCTACTGGCTGACTCTCTCCCCAAATGCTTTCTATGCTGATGCCAAACAGTACTCAGTTTCATGAAAAATTAATTTTACGACTTCTTCATTTTTTTTTTTTTAATACTCTGTTTTTATTAGGAAAAAATTGTTTTGGACTGAATAAAATCATTTGATTAACAAGTCAAAGCAGATGGATTATTGATGTTTCAGAAAGGAGTTTACAAGGTCCAGTGAAAGAAGAGAACCAGCTCTGATTGAACAAATTCCCCTGGTATACAGGACATTGACAGTTCACTGCTAATAGATTTATGGGCTACTGCTGGGTGGAATCATTTTTTATCAAGGAATACATATCAATATTAGGTGGATTTATAAGATATTTATATCACAGAAGTCTTTCAAGGTAATTAGTATGGTAATAATCTCACCAAAATTTAAACCTAGAGATTCAGAACACATACCAGTAGTAAATCTTGCACATGTCCAAAATTAAATAGAATTTTACAATTTCAACATGTTCTATTTCCCCCGCAATTAGCCTATAATGTTCCTAATCAAATACCAGAGGGAAAAGTTATGTTCAGAATGACAGTGTTTCCATACTTTTGTTTAACAATGTTCGCACTTGTCGAAGTGCAAATATTAAAGTGCATGGGCCTGGCTGTCACACGAGTGTTCATGTCATGGGTATATGCCTCCTCGGCGACACAAAGGGCTCCTGTCCACACTCAAATCTGTGTGATGTTTCAGTGGTTTAACTTCATTCTCTTGTGGAACATTTGCCATTGCCTTAGGTTTTTTTAAAAAGCAAATAAAAGGCAATGAGATAAAAATTTTTCTTTAGATTGCAGATATTTTGTGCTTTCTCTCTACTTTCTAAATTTTCTATTTACACAGCTAATAATACTTCTGTCATTAGAAAATAAAATTGTGATCTAAAAAGGAATTAAAACAATCCCTTGCATATACTGTTACTCATGTTATAAAAAGTATCAAAATAGGTTTCTCCTAAATCAGTGTAAATGCCTGATGACATAATTTAAATGGAAAAAGAACTAAGTGAAAACTAGAGCTCTTGAGATAATCCCAAATTGTAATTTAAAAAGAATTCAGAACAAGATATCAATTATTGATTCATCCCAAATGTTCATAATTAATGGCTATATATGTTCCTGAGTTATTTTTAAAAACTCTTTCTGCAATTAAAACCCCCACTAACTTCTAAAACCATTTAAATTCCATGACTATCATCTCATAAGAAATGCAACATAAAAATTCTATAATTCAGTTTTAAAAGTGGTTTTGTGAGAAAAGGGGAAAAGGTAGGATGATGGTTAAAAACTAAAATGTGAGATTAAGTTTCACAAGGATAAATTTATATGATAGTTATGCCCTGAGATTTTTTTCATAATCAATAAAAATACTCTTTTATTCATAAAAAGAAATTCTCCTTTGCATTTACTTATATAATGTGGGTCTTGAAAAACTTCCGTTTTTCTTATTGCAAAGCTTATTTTACAATTAATTATATTTATATAATTCCTCCTGAATTATACAAGGCCAATTTTTGCATTTTTAGTTTGAAAAAACATCAAGTACAACTCAGCCACAGAAAAACATAAAATATCACCATTCGCAACATGGATGGATCTTGAGAGAATTATGTTAAGTGAAACAGGTCAAGCAGAAAAGGACAAGAAACATATGATTTCACTCATTTGTGACTATAAAAGAGAAAGCAACAAATGAACAAAGAAAACAAATTCAAAGACTCAGACATCAGTACGGTGGTTCCAGAGGGGAAAGGGGTAGGAGACAGGATGAAGGAGTTCAAATATACAGTGACAGGAGACTAGACTTTAGGTGGTGAGCACACAGTGGAATACCCAGATGATACATTATAAAGTTGCACACCTGAAATTTATATATTGTTATCAACAATGTTACCCCTAAAAAAATTAATTTAAAAAATAAATAAATAAAAAATCAAGTACAGTATCTTCACTTTTTTTTTTTTTAATCCTCACCCGAGGATATTTTTCCATTTTTTGTACAGATAGAGTGGGAGGGAGAGAGAGAGAGAGAAACATCGACGTGAAGGGACACATCGAGTGGCTGCCACCCGCACAACCCAACTAGGGCCGGGGACAAACTGCAACCGAAGTATGTGCCCTTAGTGGGAACCGAACCCGGGTCTCTCCGGACCGCAGGCCGACGCTCTAACCGCTGAGCCAAACTGGCCAGGGCAGTATCTTCACATTTAAAAAAAATTACATATGAAATTTATTGGACAGATTAATACATGCATACCATTCAGATCTCTAAAATTATTCAATAGATAATAACACACATAAACTAGAAGACATATATGATTTCTTTTTGCTTCAACTTAGCTCAGATACCTAGACTACAAAACTTTGAAAGTGGTAACACTAAAAAATTAGCTGAATGACAGTCAAGTCGATATACTTAATAAGAGCTGCATTAAGACTATCTCATCTGTGTCTTTTCTATTCTATTTTTTTCATTGGTGCTACCCAGAAAAGTAAGGGCTAAAAGAATAGAAATAAGAGCGCGAGAGCCAACCGCCAGGAGTTTGGTCTGCATATCATCTTCCTTCTCACTACTTGGGCTACACTCTCCCAAAGAAATAAAAGGAAAAGAGTCTCCGAGTGGCAAAAACTATGGAAAAGGAGGCAAGAAGGGTCAAAATTAATGCAAGAGAACAGAGTCCACAGAGGGAAAATTAAACTGGACTGAAAATCAAGGAGGTCGAAATCTAAAGAAACCTCCTTCTCCTAAGTAATATATTGCCCCCAGAATGCACTTTCAAAAGCAGTGTCTCAAACAGGCAATTTAAAAAGCTGCAGAAAAACTAACTACAAAACTCAAGAAATATTAATTTTTCCTACAAAATTAAAGGGAAGAGATAAAAAGAAAGTCCTAGCTGGTGTGGCTCAGTGGATTGAGCATCATCCCATGGACTGAGAGGTCCTGGTTCGATTCTCGCTCAGGGCACGTGCCTGGGTTGTGGGCTCGATCTCCAGTAGGGGATGTGCAGGAGGCAGTCAACTGATGTTTCTCTCGCACATCAATGTTTCTATCTCTCTCCCCCTCCCTCTCTCTCTAAAAAATCAATGAAAACATATTTTCAAAAAAGGAAGTCCCATCTCCAGGAAGTTCTCCTATTATAGAGATACAGATCATACAGATAATTGATAAAAGCAATACATTTAGATATGAAAACTCAGGAAAATAAAACAATTAAAATTTAGGTATGATGAAGCCCCACCTTACCACTAATTATAACTATTTTTGGCTCAAAGCCAGCTTTTCAAGGGGATTTCCATTCTACTTGTCCTGCATCCCATTCCAGACCAAAGGGCCCTGCTCTTACACGCTCACTTCCTCCTCTTCCTACGCACAGGGGACTCTTGTGGAACAGATTTTATATTCAAATTACCAGCTACTTAACAATGTCTGAGTTCCAGGAGGCTTACTCAGGGATTTCTAATTCAGATAGACATATAGGAGGTTAGAAAAGGAATTTACACCCCTCCCTGACCCCATTTCTGTGTACTGTGACTACTGCTACTACATAATTAATTCTTCATACCTTCACCTTGTACAGTCAAAATGCCTCTCTAAGTGTTTACCATGAGAGAGAGCGGAAAAGGGAAAAAAGCACAGTCTAGCCCATTTCTTTTTTCTTTTTTTTTTTTATCCTCACCCGAGGACATTTTTCCACATTTTGTTCAGAGTGGGAGGGAAAGAGAGAAAGAGAGAGAGAGAGAGAAACATCAATGTGAAAGGGACACATTGAGTGGCTGCCACCCGCACGACCAACCAGGGCTGGGGACAAACTGCAACCGAGGTACGTGCCCTTAGTGGGAATCGAACCCGGGTCTCTCTGGACCGCAGGCTGATGCTCTAACCGCTGAGCCAAGCCTGCCAGGGCTAGCCCATTTCTAATGAGGGCAACACTGCACTTACTTTGGGATAATCCAACTCAAAGAACGTTTCCAAGTTGTTGATGAGGTTGGGATCCACTCCTTTCAGTGGTTTTAGAAGAGACACGCCTGGGAGCTTGCTATATGGCTGTTTGTCCGTTGCCTTCTTGTTGAGGTGCAATCGGCTACAAAGCAAACGATGTACACGTTATTTCTGCAGAACATAGTAGTGCCAAATCTACACATAGCATGCACCAAGTTGTCAAGAATTACTGAACTCTAAGTTAAATTCTTTTTTAATGGACATTTTTCTAGAGGGAGATCTGCAAATGAAGGCAAGTACGACCAGGGAAGCTTCCAGTTTAGGAAAACCAGAACTAAGCAGAAAGACTATCCCAACGAAGGCTGGAACTGAAGCCTGTCGTCCATTACTGTACTCCCAGTGCCCAGAACTATGCCACACGTGGGGTAGACATTCGATAAATACACGGTGAAAAATAAACAGCAGCGTGAGCCCACACATTAACTGCCCTTCCTCCCACACTGCCCTCAAACTGGCCAAGAACTTAACATAACGGTCCAGATACCCACGACGGGAGGAAGTATCAAGCCGCCAACCTGGCAAGCAAGAAAGGGGATAAGTAGCAGAACTCCCAACATTCACAAGCTCCAAATGGCAGAGTTGAAAGGAAGGAAAAAAAGTCTGTGATGAGAAAAAAAGGTCTATTAATGACACTGGAAAATATACCAGGTGCCACCAATTCACAAATAAGTTGGTCAAGGTTCCCAGTGCTGGTCCATCCCAAGGGTGTTGCAACACAGGGCTCCTACTGAGAGAAGGCATGCCATTCGAAACCAGAGAATGTGCCCCAGTTAATGTCAGGCTGTCACAATAAAGAAATAAGATGCCATTCAACAGAGTGGTAAAGTTTCTACAGGAAGTCACCAAGGGCTGCTTCGCTCCTTCTCCTAAGTAAGTCTCCTAGCTCTCCAGAGATTAGAACAACCATGGGGCCATCTGCTAGCTATCTTTTTTTTTTTTTTTTTTGCATTATCGGGAGGGAGAGAAGGGGGAAGAGAGAGAGAGAAAGAAATATCAATGTGAGAGAGACACATCGACTGGTTGCTACCCACACGACCCCAACCAGGGCCAGGGTCAAACTGCAACCAAGGTACGTGCCCCTAGCAGGAATCGAACCCGAGACTCTCTGGTCCACAGGCCGACACTCCAACTGCTGAGCCAAACAGGCCAGGGCTGCTAAGACACACATTCTTTCACATTTCAGTATCTCGGAAATCAGTGGCATTTTACAATTGCTGGCAGACAGATGGCAGTCCTAACTTCGTAGCATGAAAACCAAACCAACCAATGAGACCATCTAGAAGATCAAGAAAACACCAGCTTCAATGCATCTTAGGTTTGATGAAATGCACTATTAATCTATGAATGACTCCTGAACTATACCAGTACTACCATCCAAGAGCAGCTGGCCACATCAATGTGAGAGAGACACATCGATTGGCTGCTTCCTGCATGAGCTCAACCAGGGCTGAAGGTCAAACTCGCAACCCAGGTACATGCTCTTGACCAGGAATCGAACTGGTGACCCTTGGGTCCATGGGCCGACACTCTAACATCTGAGCCAAAACAGTTAGGGTTCCAGGTTTTCTTAATATGTATTTCTTTTCTTTCTTTCTTTTTTTTATCCTCACCCGAGGACATTTTTTCGCGTTTTTTTTTTTTTCCTCAGATAGAGTGGGAGGGAGAGACAGAAAGAGAGAGAGAGAGAGAGAAACATCAACGTGAAAGGGACACATTGAGTGGTTGCCACCCCCAAGACCGAACCAGGGCCAGGGGGGGGAAACTGCAACAGAGGTACGTGCCCTTAGTGGGAACCGCAGGCCGACGCTCTAACCGCTGAGCAAAACCAGCCAGGGCTTAATATGTATTTCTTAGTATGTAATTATTGGGAGCCGGTTTGCTCCCAATAATTAAGGCAGAGATGTACCACAGTAAACACCTAATGTTTCAGGTAAGGCCACACAAACATCTTCACAGAAAGAAAACACGTTACCTACAATGGAAAACAACTGAAACCAATAAGAAAGTTGAAAGACGGTGCATCAATTTCGCAGCCACGACACTAAATGCCGAAAGCAACGGAGTGCCAGCTACAGCAGTTGCTCATGCGCGCCAGCCCACGAGGTACTCTTCACTGGTCTTCGATGAGAAGAAACAGAGAGAACGCATTCAGAAACTTTTATAGCAATCTGAGTTGCCAGGCCATCCAAACATGTGGTCAATAATTCATTTTTATTGAAATCGTTTACCAAAGTATCAGTCCATGACAGACTGGGAAGTTTGAAAGGACTGATCCTTTGCCACAGACAGATCTACAGAGTTGACTGAGAGGGCTGAACAGAGGTTAAACCATGACCTAAAATTTATATAGCCACAAAAATTACCACTATTTCATTCCTAACAAAATAGCAGACTAGATGGCTAGAGAAATCCACTTGGTACAGAACATCTAGTTTGCTGGGGTGGGGGTGGGGGGGTATTATATACTTAATTGACTGAACTGCTAATATAGCCACCAAATGGTTCAAATGAAAAAAAAAAAAATGAGGAAGTTCATATAGGTCTCCCTCTGTCCCCAATCTGCCTCATTCTTATCACCCCTTTCCCAGCATTATTAGTGTCTTGCTTATCTTTCCAGAGGTTTTCTTCTTCATTAATTCTCACCTGAGGATACTTTTCCATTACTTTTAGATAGGGGGGGGGGGGTGGAGAGAAAGAAAGAGAGAGAGAGAGAGAGAGAGAGAGAGAGAGAGAAACATCAACGTGAGAGAGACACATTGACTGGCTGCTTCCTGCATGAGCACAATTAGAACCGAGGATCAAACTCGCAACCCAGGTACATGTCCTTGACCAGGAATCAAACTGGCGACCCTTCAGTCCACAGGCCGACACTCTAACATCTGAGCCAAACCAGTTAGGGCTCCAGAGGTTTTCTTAATATGTATACAAGCCAAAACATATACACATATAAATCCTCATGTAAGATTTATATTTTTCTCCCCTTTTTATTTTTTAAAATGTTTCTAACAATTTGTTTTTATTTTTTTAGAGGAAGAGAGAGAGAGAGAAACATCGATTGGCTGCCTCCTGCACACCCCCTACAAGGGATCAAGTTGGCAACCTGGGCACGTGCCCTGATCAGGAATCGAACCAGTAACCTCTTGGTGCAAGGGACGATGCTCAACCAATTGAGCCGCGTGTAGGGCAGACATTCAATAAATACATGGTGAAAAAAATTAACAACAGTGTGAGCCCACACATTAACTGCCCTTCCTCCCACATTACCCTCAAACTGGCCAAAGAACTTAACATAACGGTCCAGATAACTCACCAGCCAGAGCTCTCCCCTCTTGTAAAATACAAGTGCACTAAAAGCAAGTTTTTAAATACATGGCTGAACTGTTAGAAAAATCAAGGACAGCCTCCCAGACAGAAAGGAGAACTCTCCAGACAATAATCACAGGAAATCTGTTCAGAGAACCCTGTGTAACTATGGAATCCCTGACAGGCAAAGCAGAAGAATCCTGGCCCACAGAGAAAAGATGGCGATGCTCAGTCTTGAGCAAAGAGGAAGAGAAAGAAAAAGTCTCTCTGGAGGACACCTCGCCAGTCTCTCTGGACATCAGCAAGCAGACTACCTGTGTTGCTTAAACAAAACCAGAGAGATGGAATACGAGAGACCATCCACTATATGTGACGATGAATACATGAAAAGAACCACACGATGTCTAGAAGTGAAAATGATGATTGCTGACATCAGACACTCAATAGACAGGTAAAGCAGAAGACTGCCATCTAAACGAGAACAGGAGAACTGGAATCTAGACTTGATATTACCCAGAATGCAGCCCAGAGAGAATGGGAGGCAAAGTCACTGAACTCATGGGAGAATTGGAGAATTTGTATCTCTTGGTCCCACTGCATGATCACTAAGTGCTATTAAACCTGTATCACAGAGAAACCTCGCCCACTGGCACAGTGCATTTAGCAAGGTTTTAGATTAAAATCAAGGTTAATTTAAACATTGCTAACCATCCAATGCTGATCCTATCGCTCCTTTCTTCCCCTTCTTCATTAAGACATTTTACTTTAAATGCTAAGACAGATATGCCTCCTATCTCATGAAGGGCTTCTCATATCAAGCATGCAGGACTTTATCAAAGGGAACTCAGTCCAACAACAGTGGAGTCCTCTCCCGCGTTGCGGTGAAGAGACCTGATGACAGTACCGCCTGCCGGGTAGCTCAAAGGGGGCCCGAGTGGTACCGTCCTCCAAACGGGCCAGTTTTATGAGTGGCTCTGACAGGTACCTACAAGGTTTACTACTTTTCAGCCAGTTTTTATTCAGTATTTCAGGACATGGTTTCCACATCACCTGAGCAGTGTGGACCTGGGCTGACTGCACAGGACTTCTTGTGGGTGCCCATTTCTACCCTTGGCCTGGTCTTTCTTTCTAGTGTCCTGGGTACAACATTTTCTCAGTTTCTGGCTCTATACTGGGAATCCAGCTCTACCTTCCTATCATGCATTTGGCTCACAGCCCTGACCTTTTAAGGGGAGAGGGAAGGAGGAAGAGTACTTTTAACTGACATATAACATACACAACACAAAGTCACACAAGTACCCAGCTCAACGAATTTTCTCAAAGTGAACCATCCCTGTGACCAGTGACCAGATCAAGAAACAAAGTATTACCAGAACCCCGAAAGCCCCTGCCTGTCCCTTCTATTTATTCCCTTCAAAGGTAACCATCATCTTGACTTCTATACCAGACTAATTTTGCTGTGTTTTCAAAAAAATTACGTTCTATTGATTTTTTTAGAGACAGAGAAAGGGAGAGAAAGAAACATTGATGTGAGAGAGAAACATCGATCAGCTGTCTCCTGCACACCCCCCACTGGGGAGCGAGCCCACAACCCGGGCATGTGTCCTGACTGGGAATCAAACCGGGACCTCTCAGTCCATGGGATGATGCTCAATCCACTGAGCCACATTGGCCAGTATAATTTTGCTGGTTTTAAATGTTTACCTAAATGCCCAGCTGGTGTGGCTCAGTGGTTCAGCGTCGACCCATGCATCAAGAGGTTGCTGGTTCAATTCCCTGTCAGGACACATGCCCAGGTTGTGGGTCAAATCCCCAGTGGGGGGCATGCAGGAGGCAGCCAGTGGATGTTCTCTCTCTCCCTCTCCCTTCCTCTCTCTCTAAAATCAATAAAGAAAAAAAAATTAAATTTTTACCTAAATAGAATCCTATAGGACATACTCATTTATGAGATTCATCTTGGTGTTTACATTCAGTTATAGTTCATTCACTCTCATTACAGCACAGTTCTCCTTGTACTGATATACCACATTTACTCATCTACTTTCTGTTGACGGATATTTAGGTTGTTGTTTCCAATGTGTGGCCGTTACAAATAGTCTGCAGTCTTGTCTCTGTCCTTACTTATGTATCAAAACCCTGGCCTCCCCGTCCTACCACCCAGAACTTCACCTTTTGGACAAGATGAAGACACGGGGGCTGTGTACTCTCACACCTGAAACAATTTTTTAAAATGAGACAAAATAAAGGAAACAATGGTTTGTAAGACATTGGCTATCAGGTAAAGAGGAGTAGTGATTCCTCCGACTCAGAAAACAAATGAGGTGAGCCCTCCAATCGCCCCAGATGACTGCCCTGAGTAATTTCCAGGCCCTGGCACAGGGAAGGGAAACCCAGGCAGAACCCAGCAGACACTCCTGAATTGATGAGATGGAGCTAAAAGCCCAGAAATATACAAATATCCAGCAGCCGGCAAAGTGAAATGTAGAATGCCTGACATCTAATGCAAAATTACCAGGCATGCAAAGAACCAGGGAAATATAACCAATAATAAGAAGAAAATCAATAATTAGAAACCAACCCAGAACTGTCATTGGGATCAAAATTTGCAGGCAAATCCAACGCACTGCTTTGCATTCCCTTCATTTCTGGGACCTGGAGATTTTCCTTCCTTATTTCTGGGCCGTGTGTGTGCATGCATGCACGCACATATATATAACCATTATAGCATTTTCATGTGTTTAGACTTGCAGTGGTTCTCACATGAGCACTGGTCACCTCTTATTCAGAAGCAACTTCTGTACAAGCTTCTATAAATGCAGCGTGATACAGACTCTAAAGAAACTAGGTTTTAGACCATTTTGAGAGTACAAAGAAGAAAGCATCTGATTTTTCCCACGTGGTGGTCCTTTAAGACTTTCCATATTCCAAGTGTGGTCTACTGACCAGCAGCAATGGCATCACCAGAAGCTTGCTAGAAATTCAGATTCTCAGGCCCCACCCCCAGAACTACTTTAACAAGATCTCCAGGTGACTCAGAGGCACATTCAGGCTTGAGCAGCATTGCTTTAAGACTCATCTCTGCTATATAAAGTCTTCCCTGACTGCACTGGCAAGGCTGAAAAGGCCTGTAGCTCATCCCATAGGCAAGAAGTAACCATGAAAGACTGTCAGAAAGAAACAAGATCATTTTTGTATTTACAGAAGTTAAGAGAATAAAGTAGAGGCGAGCAAGACAGAAGGCAAGGGAAAATATTATTAAGATCCAAAAGAAAAAAGATAGGAGCACAAACTAAGGAGTAAGCAGAAGGTAGCAAAAGAAATGAAAAGAGAGAATAAGAATTCAAAATTCCTGGGGTTTGGCTAGTGGATGATGAAGGTGGGTGGAGAGTGAAGAGGTTACATGGATGACTCTTAGGTTTGGATTTAGGTAACTAGTGTGCCCTTCATAAAATCTGGGCACAACAAGAGATGTGAGACAGTGATATGCATTATTATGAACAAGGGTTCGAAGTTACTATTAAGTCATCAAGTGGCAATGTCCCTTTGTCCAGGAGACTACCATTTTCCAACAATTAATTAAAAATACAGAGTGCCCATAGGCAGAAGTCATAATTTAACGGACCAGTTGCAGAGCTACGAACGTGCATTTTTATAAACATCCCAAATGATTCTGTGAACCACACTTAAAGATACACTACAGTAACTATAAATTCTCCAGGGTCCAGCAAAACAAT